AGTAATTTTCAATAAATAAATTTTTAAAAATAAATATTTTAATAATAATGTGAAATTATTTTATTACAATTTAAAATGTTCAAAAATCTCTGGAGTTTTATATATAAATCTTTGCTTCAGAGACTTCTAATGATGATAAAGTGCCTTTAGAGTTTTATACTCAAAAATCTCTGGAGATCTTTGTCAAAAAAATTTCCTGATAAATATACAAACTGAAACACTTCTAGCATATCCAGATAAAAGAAAAACATATTGGATAGTTCACTCCAGTTCTTCAACTAATATATTAGAAAAAATGCTATTTTCAAATAACAAAATCTAGTTTATTTCATATCAGTTATCATATGACCCTACTAGAAACTATATCCTACTTTAATCAAATAGATTATTTCAAGTATTAAAAGTAGTTCTATCACAAATCCATCTTCTTCCACAACTAAATAGACATGAAAATCTGAAAAAAGAAAAGCAAGTTCTCTTATCAGGCAATTCCATAGACTGGCAAATAACTACAAGGCAACAAATATTAACTCCACTTATTTTCAGACCTATAGAAGTGAAAGTCCAGATAGAAAATTGAGAAGCTGTACTAATAAAACAAACTATTTAATCAGATGAACATATAGAAAAACTTACAGATATTCTGCAATACAATAGAAGAAGTATAGTTAATTAGTTCATTTTTTATATAAATGTTTTCTATAAAAAATGAACAAAAGATAGTGAACTTGAAATGGGTTTTGCTTGAATCCTAATAGAGAATGTTAAAGTTGAAAAACAATTCTTAATAGAGGCATTGACATACAGTAACTATTAGCAACTAAGGTAGAAATATTAACTATTCTTACTACACTATTTACTACTTCTCAAAATACACCAGTCTTAATTTTCACTGATTGTAATATTGTAGTTAATATATGGAAGTTCATTAGTCCATAAATAGAGATATTAACAAAAAGATGAACAAAAACTACCAATTGATCAATATGAAGTAAAATAAAAAATCTAGTAAAAAAGAAAGATCTTATCTTGAAAATTACAAAGGTTAAGGCTTATAGGATCAACAAGTTCAATAATCAGGTAGATATACTTGCCAAACAAACTAGATATGAGAATTTAATAATCTGGAATCAATTATCAGAGTTAGAAAAAGTTCTTATAATAACTATATAGAGTAAATATACAATAGAAATTAGTATTAGAAAATTTGTTAAAACATTTAATAGGAAAAGAATCAGGAAAAACTGGAAGCATAGAAAAGAATTTAAGAGTTGTGGATCCAAAAAGATAAAATAATAGATTAATTAACTTTCTAGAATCAATTCAATTTATTCAACACTTTTAATATCTCCTTCAAAGTTAATAAAGACAAAAGCTTTCTAACTAACTTAACCCACAATAAACTTTCAGTACTATAGATACTCAAGAAAAGAAAATCAAATATTTATACTATAACAATTTGCTCAGTATATGAACTTCAAGAAAAAATATTAGAACACTTTTTTAAATATTTAATTCCTAAAGAAGTCAGAGAAGACATATGGTGGAAAGCAAAAAAAAAAAATTAATCATTATATTCATAAAGAAATTAAAGATAAGAAAGAAGTTCACACTACAACTGATAATTGAACAAGTAGATGGTTAAACAAGATCTAACAATCTGATAAAAATCTTTTTAATACTATTTGTGAATATATAGAAGAAAACGAAACTATATCTTTGAAAAACTACCTCAAAGCACAACTCAAAATTTCTTTAGCATCCACACAAAGTATAATCAATAAGCTTTATTGCAAAATAAAGAAAAACTTTAAAAAGAATATCTGGAACAGCCACTGTACTAAAGTAATAAAGTGGAAAAAGAAACAAAATATTATTGAAAAGGATAAAAAATTTAAAAGATCTGGGTATAAATCAAATACACAAACTACACAAGAACAGAAAGAAGTTTCAACATCCTTAAAAGATCTGAAGGAGAAAGCTTTTGAAAGAAAGAAGGAAAAAAAGTATATAAAAATTATTAAGAATTAGATTTGTTATAATGTTAAATGACATGGTTTTTAATTTTTAACTGCAGACAGAATTTAGAATGATCTACAGTAATGACCTGTAGACAATGATTTTATTAATTAAAAGATTTATTCAAGTTAATAAAGGAACAAAATATTATTTCCTAAGTTGCATCTAGAAAAATAGGTTTTCGATGATAGATGAGTTAATATGTGAAAGTCAAAATATCTTGTAAATATCTTTGTATATATACAATAAAGATGTGCCATACTGACCTGATTATGGGTTAAAAAAAAAAAAAAAAAAAAAAAAATCAAGAAAATGTAATAAAAAATAAAAAAATATAATATGAATAAGCCATTCTATTTGATTGTAAAATTATCAAAATTTGAATTTTGTTATAAAAATTTTTTTATAATAAAACCTAAGTTCAATTAAATCAAAGAAAGCACAAAATATCACAAACATGTGATAAATGATGCTATCCTGAGAACAATTCATGAACTAGAGAAGGTTTCATTTCTCCGGCTTCAATTGTGACCAAATTTATCATAAACGCTAATGTTATTACGTAGTCAATTGTCATTTTACACAATTGTCATTTTTGGTTCAATAATGATACAAGTTTTCATAAATGTGATTTTATTCTTGAAAAGGAAACATCAGTCATAACATCCTTCCTTAATTTAATCACAATAAAAGGACTATATAAATATATATATGCTTACATTTCATCAAACCGTTCAACTACTTTCCCCTATTTTCAGACTCCGTAGTTTTACTGACGCGAATCTTTTGTTAAAAAAAAAAAAAAAAAAAAAAATTAATATATTTATTCTATTGACAGTCTACGTAATACTGACTATTCAAGTAGCGAGTAAACGAAAAAATTTAAAAAATGTATAATGTCAAAAGTGATTTTACCGAAGTGTTGACTCCACCGCTTGACAAAGTAAGAAAACGCGTCCTTCAAAATGTCAGTCATGTCGCGTCTGATTGAAATAATATTTATACTTGACGATGGGATTTCTAAGGTTGGAAATATTCGATACAAAGACATACTAATAACGTTTATTGTTATGAAAATAGGACTCACCGTCTTTCATGAGCACAGATTCTTCTGTGCACACTCCTACAGATGAATCCATACCTACCGAAGGCACAAAAGAAGAGGGAGGAAAGATTATCGAGAACGAGAAAGAAAATCTCAAAGTTTTAAAGGAAAAGGTATTTCTCACTTTACAGAATAATGCAATTATACGATGCTTTTCGCAAAAGATTTCTTTTTAATTACAATAATGATAACAATAAGACGCGCTGATTTTTAATCGAAATTAATTTCAAAAAAGTCACGATAAAATTCTTTTTAATTTGTATAAAACATCGTGTGCATTTTTTGTGTCATACGATGATTTTGCCGTTTCGTGTCGTATCGTGTGCCATCTCGAAACGTGACTGAGCACATGATCATATTAACAATTGCCTCAAATTATCCCTTTGTTTGAAATAGGCAGTTGCTGATTATGATGCGCTTGTTGACAAACAACGCGTTCAACGTCTGAAATTCTTGCTAGAAAAATCATCTATGTATGCACAATTCCTGGCCACCAAAATGGAGCGACAGCAACAAGAACAACGCGAACGCGCTCAAGCTGAAGAAACGAGACGCGCACATGCTAGAGAAAAGGAGGAGAAAATTGCTGTAGGACCAACTCGCAGATCATCGAGGGTTAATGTAAAGTCAATCAACACTGAGCCGCCTGTTCGACAAGTAGCTGCCAAAAAGAAGAGTGGCGCAGTTAAGAAGAGAAAGGCCAACGACGCGGATTATATAATCTCGGATTATTTGGAGGTTAATGAAAGAATATCGAGGCACTCTCAACATGCGTTGAAATTTAATGATCTTAAAGATTGATTTTGGTTCTACTAGGATCTTAACAAGAGGCGCAAAAGTTCGGATTCCTCCTCAACTCCAGTAAAAAAGGATGAGATTGCAGTTAATGTTGATGAAGAGCCACCCAATCCTGTTGCCGATGGTGATGACAGTTTACCAAAGCCAAATCTGAACATCCCTGCTCGTCAACCGGGGCTAGTTACAGGGGGTGTACTTCGTGAATATCAGTTAACGGGCGTAGAATGGTTGGTCAGTTTATACGACAATGGGTTAAATGGCATTCTAGCCGATGAGATGGGTCTAGGAAAGGTGCGTATTATCCGTGATATTTGATGCACTTAAGCTATTGATATTTTAATTTTATTATTATTTTCAATATAGACCTTGCAAACAATTGCATTCCTTGCCTACCTGTGGGAACGCGAAATATACGGTCCATTCTTAATTGTTGCACCACTTTCAACCTTGGCGAATTGGATTAGTGAAATCCATAGGTATTTCTCTTTCTGATATGTTTTCACACCGTTGATCTTCATGATGAATATTGCATTTCTTTCGAAATGTAGGTTTACCCCGACAATACCATGTGTATTATATCATGGCACACCCGAACAACGATCACATATCAGAAGTCGAAGATTGAAAAAGTTGGATCATACTTTTCCCATTGTAGTAACAAGTTATGAGATTGTGATGAACGATCGCAAATATCTACAAGTAATCAAATCTTTAGTGCTCTCGGCGGTACCATTTCTTGTTTGTGCCAATGCTTAATGAACTTCCATTTTAGAAATTCGCTTGGAAGTACATTATAGTCGATGAAGGTCATCGCATCAAAAATTTGAATTGCAAATTAATCCGAGAACTAAAAAGTTATCAATCCGCAAACCGTTTGCTCTTAACTGGAACTCCGCTTCAGGTACTTATCTACCTGCGCTTGCATAGGACGTAGTTATTGTCTTCTTACCAAATCAATATCCACTTATTTTTTTTATTTTTTTTTCGCGGATCCACTAGAATAATCTTGCGGAATTGTGGAGTTTACTGAATTTTCTTTTGCCTGACATCTTTGATGACTTGGACAGTTTTCAAGATTGGTGTGTATAAGGTCTAATTTTTTTTTTATCATTGGTTAAGAAAGTTGGATTCACGTTTACTCGTAAATTTTATAGGTTTGATTTTTCCGCTCTTCATGAACAAGGCGGGGAGAATCGTATTTTAGCCAAAGAACAATCAAATGAGGTCATCACTAATTTACATAAGATTTTGAGGCCATTCTTGTTACGTCGTTTGAAAAGTGATGGTAAGTGGGAGGATAAACACTCGGTAATTCTAACGTGCTTTGAAATAATCCAACCTTGATGTTTTTTACTATTAGTCGAGTATGATCTTCCAAAGAAAAAGGAATATTTGCTATATGCACCGTTGACTAGACAGCAAAAGGAAATATATGATGCCATCTTGTCTCGCAAGATTCGTCCTTTCTTACTCGCCAAAAGGCTTAACCGAGAAAATGAAAATATATCGGATGACATGGAAAATAAAGGTAAATGCACTTCCCGGTGTTGTTAAACCTATTCGTATGTCACAAATATTTGTCTATATGACTTACGTGATCACTTCCGAGCAGAAAGTGGTGATACAAATCAAGATGACGATAGCGTTGATCGTAAAAAGCGATTACGAGATCAGCCGAGGAAGGAGTACAAAGAGATCTCTGACTCCAAGTTTTTTGAATCCTTGGAGGTGAAAGAAGAACTCGAAGTAGACGAGAAATTGACTTTAGAAAATGCCACCAAAGCAGAAAAGGAAGAAAAGGCCAAGAAAGCAGGTACCAAATCACACTCAAACATGTTATTCGATTCATTTAAATAAACCTATTCTGTTACACTTTTTTTTTAGTTTTGCTCATCGATATTTTGGGTTGTATTAATTATTATCATTTTAAAACACAATTCAGCTAGATCGGTTAATTCCATGAATTTACAAAACGCTATGATGCAACTTCGCAAAGTCTGCAATCATCCTTACTTATTCGATTGGCCCGTTGACACATCTACCGACATGCCTGTAATTTCGAATGATTTGATCGCTACTTCGGGAAAGATGATGCTCTTGGAAAAATTACTTGGCGCGCTGTTCGAGCGCAATCATAAAGTTTTAATATTTTCGCAGTTTACCACGATGCTTGACATCATTGAGGATTGGGCCACAATTTTTAAAGGTTGGAAAGTATGCAGAATTGATGGTGGCGTGGGTCAAGAAGTTAGGCGACAACAGGTATTGCGAGGGTTTTGTAGTTCGACAATTTCGGTACCTCATGCTCACCATATAAATTATGCCAGATTCAAGATTTCAACACGAATCCCGAAATAAGGCTTTTCATTCTGTCCACACGAGCTGGTGGCTTAGGTATTAATTTGACCGGAGCGGATACCGTCATCATTTATGATAGCGATTGGGTGCGTTCATATTCCAAGTTTTCGTTAGTGATCTCAGCTTATATCTGATCATTATCTGTTTTTAGAATCCTCAAATGGATTTGCAAGCTCAGGACCGAGTCCATCGTATTGGCCAAACAAAGCCCGTGATAATCTATCGACTAGTCACTGGCAATACGATAGAGGGTAAATTAATAGAGAAGGCTACTGCCAAGAGAAAGTTGGAGAAATTGGTTATTCACAAAGGTAAATTTAAGTTGCCCACCTCTCGAGAAATGCCAATCGCGAGTTTGGCAGAACTAGCCGAGATACTGGCATCCGAAGATACCGAAAAAGTGCAGATGGCCCAGCATGGCGATGAGATAATTCCCGAGGCTGATTTGGTGCGACTTATGGATAGAAGTGAGGAGGCCTTTGCGACAGTTGGTACTGCGGCTGCTCAAGAAGAAAAGGGTGCAATTTTCAAAGTTGTTTCTGACGCCAGAGATCAAAAGAACGATGCACTTGCCCACATTGGTGCGGATGAAGGAATTAACAAGATGGAATTAGATGATTAAAAAGTCTGAACATTATGATTATATCGAACATGCGTTTATTTTTTTTTTTTTTTTTTAATTCCAAGTAAAATAATGTGGTTTAGAATTTAATATAGAGCCGAGTGCATAATTGAGGAGGGTAGACATAATTTTCTTGATAATAGTTAGCTTAACGAATTTTAGAATCATTAAAAATGCTTGTAAATAATTTGCAAAAAGAAAAATAGCGAAATTCACTATCAGAAAATTTTAACGCTTTCAAAAATTGTTGACTGCATTTATCAGTGTTATGTTCAATAGCATTCATTGTTCAGATGAAAACGTATTTTGATATTTAACGAGCATCACCCAATGAGGTGGTTCCTTTGGGGAGCGGTAAAAACACATCACTTTCAACAAGCAAAGAAAGATATTACACCGACAAAAAATTTTTAGAGATTAGTTCGTAAACTTTATGTCGTCTTTCTTTTATGCTGTACATTTATGAAGAAACAATAATAAACAAGGAAAGAAATAACGAAGTAATGATATTCATATTAAAAAAAAAAAAAATTACAAAGGCAAAAAATTAATATGAACATACTATACCCTTGTCAAAATTTGATGCTGCCAAAAAAAACATCATTAACCTTCCATTTCTTCCAATATTATTTTCAACCTTGTTCAAGCCAATGGCTTACAATAAAAATTTCAACTGTAGTTTGCCGCTACCTTGCATTTGTTAGAAAGTAAATCAAATCACGAGATTAGATAATAACAGGTAAGACTGAGCATGAACAAATGACCGACGCGAACGTGATCAATGGATTGCTATTTTGCTCGATCAATACATCGGCGGAAAAAGAATTGGAACTAGATTAAAAAAAAAAAAGTGCCAGAAAATAACAATGAAAAAAACACATTTTTCTCTCGTGATCAATATCCCGTCGCACTTTGTTGTGAGTAATCCCATGGGGTTGCCGGAGCTTGTGCTGGATTAACCGCGGTAGAAACTGCCGTCTGAGGATATTGGTATGGATATTGATAAGGAGTCTGTAAAGAAAATTTTGGTGTTTAATTTTAATTCAGAAATAAGGTCATGGAATGAATGAATAATTCTGACCTGTTGGGTGGAGTTTGCCGCAGGGTATCCGGCGTATCCAGATGTGCCCCATTGGCCTTGAGAATAGTAAGGGGGTTGTGCCCCAGCAGGAGCAGCATAAGATGCAGCTGGTACTACCGGTGCGCCAGCGTTATCGACGACACCATCTATTCTCACCTGCTTCGGAGGTTTTTCTGGATCCTCTTCCGGGCTACGTTTCTTTGTATCTAATGTGGCACGAATGGCAACAGGCGCATCTACATCAATCTTATTGTACGGAGCTATCGTTGAACCACGTTCCATAATGAAATCAAGGTAACGATGTGAAAAGTCCCGTATCGATTCTGGGGGGAGTATGGCTGTGTTACGAATGAGCTCATATACATTCTTCAAATTTATTTCTGCCACTGAATCTGTGATGAAACGGATGGAGGTGATTAAAACCAAATAGATCAGTCAAACGGTTATACGTAGGGAAACCTACTTACCAGGTTGATTTAATTCGAAGTTGAAGTAATTAAGCCAAAAATATTTACTCTCCAAATATTTGTGTGAACCTTGCTGAAAAATCTGACGGGCTTCCTCTACTGAACCCTTGTTCTTTTAACGCGAAAGGAAAAAAAAAAAAAAAGGGAACAAAAATCAGAGCATTGTTTAGCAACCAAGTGCTTTCTCTCCAAGTGAGAAATAACTACTCACATGCCATAAAATTTTCGCGTGTTGCACGGCGAGAAAGGCTTTGGACTTATCATCTAATTCAGGATTTTGCAGCGGAGACGTGATAATATCAATGGCCGCCTCCAAGTCGCCCAAGTGACGTCGCCTTTCAAAATGGGCATATTTCACGATGGTTTCGACATGGCCTGGCACTAGATTACGAAGAGGCTCATTGAAATCAAATTCTTCACTATTTATGCAATTAAAACTTGAAGAGAGAAGAAGGTTCGGTACATACTAGATTCCAAGACTGTTTTGTAAATTGTTCTGGCCTCTTCTATATTGCCTTGTTGTTCTTCAAAACAAGCATATGATGAGCGAATATTTGGACAACTAAAAAGGATTGGAAAGACCATAAATACAATGTTTATAATAATCTTGAATCTATATGGATTAGAACGTGCAAACCTCATTGGGATATACACAGAAATTGCTCTATTGTATATGCTTCGCGCATCGGTTATACGATTCTTTGAAATCATCCAACGAGCATATCGTAACCAAAATTCCTCATAAAGAGCCTAATAATCAGTGTTGATTACTTGAAGATGGTTTCACATGTCAAAAATCTAACGCCATCGAAATCAAATTACTCACGCACGCAACCAAGCACCTCTCATATAAAACCTGAATTCGCATCTCGTCTCCCTCGCTCTCCTCAAAATCAAGGTATCTCCTCCAGTTTATCAATTGAACATCGTCCATGGCCTTTACATGAAAATAAGGCCTCTTGATCTAGGTGAACGATGCAAATCAACTCATGAATTTATTTAATCCGAATAGATAGAACCTCCGAAAGATTATTATTACCTCCTGTTCGAATACCCAGCGTTTATTCGTTTCTGCTTGAGTTCGCATGTAGATTTCAACATTTAAATTATATATGCGTGTCCGAATTTCATTTTGAATCTGCTCCTCAGTCTGCAAGTCGGGAAAAATTGAGTGTGTTAGATAAACTACCCATCTCTTGGCTACGCCATTTAAGCATCAGTACCAAACCGCACTTTTTCGGCAGGCGGGGGTTGCTCACCCTCCGCTCCTTCGGCGGGAGGTGCCGGAGGCGCAGCCCTAACCTCCTCCTCAAATTGTTGAAGTTGTTCGGGAGAGATCAACTCGTTTATCGGTCGCGTCCCACATAAGTTCGTAAAACTTTTGCAATTGGTCAATCAAAATAGTTAATACTTTTAAAATCTTTTCTTTTTCTATCTCGAAGTTTAGGAAACAGAGACTGCGAACAACTTACTCATCGAAAAACCTTGCATATTGGTGCATGGGGATGCGAATTATTCTTTCCAGAATTTTCAAAACCTTGTCGTAGGCCTGCCTAGATTTTTCAAATTCTATGTATTTGTCCCAAAACAGATGCGACAAAAAGTCGAGACCAACATGAGAAGCACCACGTTCAAACAACCTATTATAAAGAGCAAATGATATAGTCAGATGTCGACAAAGGATGTTCTACTATTTTTAAAGGGCAATGCCGTGCCCCGAAAAATGAAAGAAGGAAAGAGAAAACGAACGAGCGAAAAAAAAAAAAAAAAAAAAAGAAAACTCAAAAAAAGCTATAACTTAGATTACAATAGATCCGATCCCTGAAATAACTAAGAAGCACGAAGTGAATAAGGGACGCATTTTTCACCGTCGGATGCCTTTGAGTCATCACTGGTAGACTATCATCTCCTTTGATCCTTCGCTGTTACTTGTGCAAGTAAAAACTTGGAGACAATTATAGCGCAAACGTTACAAAACAAAGATAACAGTCGAAAGAACATCAATAACACAATCACTTCGCCTTTATTTCGGATTTTATCTGAGCCCAATCTGCCTTATTTTAAAGCATAAGAAGTAGTGTATATAATAATAAACTAATACAAATACGAAACGAGAAAACAATAACTCAAGAACAAAAAATAAAATAAAATAAAAATGAAAATAAAATTTGTCATCTGAGTATGGCGTGAACCTACCCTCGAATTTCTTCCACGTTATCCGGATAATGCTCGATCTTAAACGCACAATATTGTGTCCAAAGATCAACCGAGTTTGCTATTGCCGCAACACTGCGTTCGTAAATCTGACATTCAAGGTTTGGTCAGATTGTAATTTAGAGAGGATAAAACAAAAAAAAAAAGAATTGTCCGCTTACCTTTTCCGCTTCCACAGGACCCTGAGCATTAAACTCGAAATCCGCGTACTTTTTCCAATAACCAAAGCATAAAGGGAATTTGGCCAAGAATTGGTCAAAAACGCTACGCATATTTGTTATGTTTTCTTGTGGAGATTGCGATGTGAGTCCACCTTCGGCGGTTTCTGCAACACGTATTAAATACTCCCATGACGTAAAATCCTGAGGCAGATCAATTCAACTCCTTGAATGCAGAGAATCCATCATAGATTTTTTTAAAACGAACCGAATTAACTTACATCCGGATTTGACTTGACAATGTCCCAATAACGTTCTATATCAGACTGTTGTGGTTGTGCTTCGGAACTCGCGGCGCTTTCTTCGACAGGAGTCTGAGCAGTTACTCCATTCGTTGGAGCTAGGTTGAGAAAGATTTGTCAATAGTTGTCACTTTACGGTCATCACTTTAACACTGCTCTTCCGGAATTCTATATGCATATATATATTCATATGTATATATCTATATTCTTTTTTTTTTTTTTGTTGACAGTGAGGAAAACTTTTCGCCTGATAAATGATTGACAGAGGGCGTGCTCTAAATCTATGAAGTTGAATACCATACCGGGTGATGGATCAGTCGTGTATTGTGCGTATTGTGAGGCAGCCACCGGATCGTCGTAGGATGTCATATTCTATTATTCTAGGACAAAGTTTAGCTTGTAAAGATTAAGAAAACCAAAAAAACGATAAAAAGTTTATTCATCGATCTTGAACTTGTACAACATTTGATTTAAATTTGGCAGTGGGATAGGTCGAATGGATCAATGTGAAATATGATTGGTAAATTTGAAAATGGCACAAGTCGCGACTCGCGTTCGACTAAAACCTGACTCCTAAATTAATTCACACATGCCACGACCACCCAGAGCCGTAAAAAAGATACTGTCGCGGGACAAAAACAGTCTATCGAAAAACGGTTTTTATTAATGCTTTATTATTATAATTTTCCTTACAATTTACACGTGCAGCTTTTAAATTAACTCATACAAATATCATTCAAGAGAAGAAAAATGTGTCGTCCTTAGAAAAGGAAAACAAGGATGAGAGTAATCAACGTGAAAAGTCTCAAAATAGCATTCAAGTTAATTTTGAGAAAGCAGACAAAATTAGCGACGAAAAATCAAAAAACAAAACAATCTCTAACGAGGTGTCAACAAATGAGCGTTCTAATGAACTGTTGCAAACCAAAGACTTGGGACACGTTGACAGTTTACCTTCACCTCTCAAGGAGCGTCACTTGAATGCATCACCAATAAACGACCACGCTTCGCAAAGGCTGAAGCGCCAGAAAACAAATATGTTGCCAACAAACTCGGACGGAATCAGTGACGACAGTGAAGGTAGTGAAGACGATCCCTTTGGATTTGCAAAGGCTGAGAAGAAAGTCAGAAGTTATTTGAAGAAAAAAAATAGTAACCACTCATCGAAGGGAGATGTTGTAGATGAGTATATTAAGGAACGAAAAGGTCTTGGTGAATTCGAAATCATCGAAATCACTCGAGATGACAATCAACCCATTGTAGTGGATCATCTTGAAGATCCACAAAATAATTCGCAGGATGTTGGTATTGATCCGGACGCCGATGAAGTCGATGACCTTTTCCTGGTCTCATTAGACGAACCTGGTGAACCTGCGAAACCCCGTGGAAAAGATAAAGAAAGCATTGACGATGAAAACGAAAAGAATGACGACAATAGTTTACCACCGTCACCCACTCACGAAAAAGACCTAACGCCGACCAACATTCAACCGAAAAATGGATCAACCGTAACTATGACAAATGATTTGTTATATCTGTTGCCACGGCGCAGGCATGCGGTGCGTGGAAATAAAGGAAAAAAGGTTAGACATGAAGAAGAGTTGGAAGTTGAAGGTGACCATGGGACGGATCCAAAAAAGAAAGGCAAAGACAGCAAAAAGAAACAAGCAAAGAGGAAATTGGATACGAGCTATGAATTAGATGAGGTAATCAAATCACCCGATCGAAACAAAATCTTGAAAGAAATCGCTTACCTGATCTGTTTCTTTCTTTTCTTTTTTTTCACCCGTGAACTCTATCCTCAATCTAGGTTGCTGAACGAGAACTTAGAGATCGAGTCCGTCATTTCGAGGAGATTGATAAATATCCGTTGCCGGTCGAAGAAGCGTGAAGATCGTGACGGAGAATGAAACGTTCGCTTGCAGATTATACAAAATCAAGTAAATAGATTAATGTTAGTAATCAGAAATATCGGATTTATACCGTGTTTAGTATTTAAGCTACCCGAAATCGTTCGAAAAAGTAAAATTTCCCTCTAAAATCGATAAAATGAGTTGAATTGTACAGGTTATAGTAAGGTTACGCGTATATAATTAAGTATTTGGCAAATTTCATCCGATCTCGGATAAAGGTCATAAATATGGCATATATCCTATATGAAATAGTTGAAGCCAAAAAAAAAGGTTGGCATCCTTTTTTCTTTCTTTTTTTTTCGGTTTTCGGGATTTTGTTTTTTTCTTGTTTTTTTTTTTTTTTTTTCTTTTTTTTTTTTTTTTTCTTTTTTTTCTTTGCATCCTTCGAAATTTTTTCAGTAAATAAATGCAGTAAGGTCAATTAAGGCTGTAAAATAGAACGACTTAGACCCGAAAGGATGTTTTGGCATTAGATCACACCAATATAAAGGAGATATATGTATATATATGGATCGAGAAACCGAGCGAAGGTTAAAGGACGTAAGAAGGGAAACAAAATTAGATACAAGAAAAACGAGACAAAGAGTAATAACAAAGTTCCAGAAGGTAGGACGGTAAAATAATATTAGGCAAAATCAAATAAATATTTGGAAACTTAAACCGTCCTAGCCGACAAAAAAATATGGTTCGTAACCAATTGAAAATTGGGTAAGAACAAAGGGAATCAATATTCGAGATCGTAAATGATCGAAAGACAAGACCTTTTTTTTTTTTTTAGGAAAAAAAAAATTCGTCGCGAATAAACATAGTCCAACATTGAATAATAAGGTCGAAATGCCAACGCCACTCCCATTATACAAAATAATTTAAAAAAAAAAAAAAAAAAAAAAAATATTATAACCAAAATAGATCAAATAGACATAACAAGAAATATAATATTTCTTAACAAGGTCAAATGAATCTTCATAAAATATATATAAGAAAAGGAAATAATCAATTTTTTAACATTTTCAGTTTCTTTTATAACAAAAGGGAATAAATGAAATGAAAAAAAAAAAAAAAATAGCTACAAAGAAATATAAATGATAAACATATCTATCAATAAAAACATCATTGATTTAAGGAATTATGGCTGTGAATTGACGCCTGTCTAAACACCATTAAACCCAAGATGCTCCAACATGTATATTAATAATATTCACCGAGACATTTGAAGATATAATTATAATCTCACCCGTTACTCTTCGTCACCATCTCCATCCCCACCGTCGTCTTCGCCACCATCGATGTTCCTACCGTCGGATTCTGAGTCACCGGCATGAAGAACTCGAGCATCGGATTCACCATTATTACGCCCTTTATTAGTCTTGCTTCCAGTACCATTATTGAGTCCAGAGACGCCCCTTGGAGGATTACCACATCGATCTTTGCCAAAGTTGATGCGGAATTTTTTGTACTCCTCTTTCGACTTGATTCCCTCGATAGCCTTCATAGCGGAGAGAATAGATGTGAAATTTACAAATCCACAACTCTTTTCCTTGAGAATGTTTACCAACTCGATATCCCCAAATTCAGCAAAGTCTCGCCTAAGCTTTTCTTCGGTCATGCTTTCATCTAATTGACCTACATACACATTGCGAGATGCACTTTGGGTGTTTACAGCAATTTGTATATGAGCCGGCAGAGGTCCCGGATTCTTCCCCCAGCCGACCTTAAGACGGCGATTTTTCACCATCACGCCAGCCTGTTGCGCGATGAACATGAACGTATTAGCGGCGTTAGGATCAATAAAGGTAACAAAGGCTATATGTTTTTCTGGCATATAACGAATTTGTTGAAGGATGCCACCACGAATGACGTTGCAAATTTCTTCGCAGGTAGTGTCCGGATGAATATTCCCGAGGTAAACAGTCCGATTGCCGGCAGTCGATCCAGAGGTCGTACTACCTGCCGCGGAAGAAGCTGAAGAAAATAATGGACTTGTAGGACTGCGAAGTTCAGTACCATTCTCGAGGTGACCAGCGCCAGTAACGGAGGCAACATGGTAAGGATCAAATCCAAAGCCCGCGTTTCCGAAACTTTGGAAGTTAAGAGGGCTAACTGGAAATGTGTATTGCGTGGTAGTTCCATTTCCTATTCCCGTTTTTTGCGCACATCGATCCTTTCCGTAATTAACTTTCTTGTTGGCATACCTAGGCTCTGTGGGAAGCATTTGTACTGCCTTCATGGCACTAGCAATGTTCAAAAAGTGAACGAACCCAATATTCTTTTCTCGAACAATTTTAACGTGTTCGAGGGTTCCATATTTGCTCAGATCTTCACGTAAGGTAGCTTCGGTTATCGATTCATCCAAATTTCCTAAGTAAACGTTACGCGTGGCACTCTGAGTGGTAACCGCTACTTGAACGTTCCCAGGAACAGGAGAAGGTTTGCCCCAACCGACTTTGAGTTCTTGACCGTGTAAAACAATCTTCCGACTTGTGGCGTCTTGGTAAAATGCCATAGCGGCTGCACCGTCCATGAAGGAAATAAAAGCGCAACTTTTATCATTAAGAACTCGAACCGACTCTATTGGTCCAACTTTGATATGATTTAACATTTCTTCGAACTGCACGTCAGGAGGAAGGTTTCCGAGGTAGACAGTGCGACCCGTGGCGTTCGCCGTTGCGTTAGGGACAACCGTCTGTTGATAAGATGAAGGATACTGCGCGCCAGAAAAAGCACTTGTGAATTGGGGGACCATGCTATTAACGTTGGAAGTGTATTGATTCATGGAGGCATATTGTGTGGGGGTTGGATACACGCCCATGCCAGCAAAATGACCGCTTGAATGACCAGGATGATGGTGAAAACCTGCAGCACTCTGGGAGTATGCGGGATTACCCATCATTGAAGAGGGACCTACAGGTGGATTTGGATAATATAAATCACTTGAGGATCCTTGATTAAGGTCACTTCTCATCCCTCCTGTCAAAGAATAACCGCTACCGTTGTAATTTTGTCCTCCGAAACGTGGCTTTTTTATGTTATCGTGACTTTGATTACCGTAATCGTTACTACGTTTCATGGTTGAATTTGAACTATAGTTCTGAGCCCCGAGTTTCTTTGTGTGGGAATAAACCATAAACATAAAGTAGAAGTGAAGGTAGAGGTCTTGCGGATAGTAGGTGAAAGACCATCAAACGTTGAGTCCGTTTCTCGAACTCAGAACAAAAGATCGAATAAAAAAAAAATTTTTTTTCGGATGAGAACTCAATTGAGAGTATGCTCTAGGCAGATTTATCAGAAAACCTGATCTACTAATCATAATGCTGGCCAGCAGACATGTATAATATATATGATTTAAATTTATTAAATTACTCTTCTCGTTGATCTTTTGATTATTATACAAAAAAGTTTTGTAATTTCTAAATTAATGTCTTTATACATTAACATAATTTGAAGTATAACTTCAAGGGTCACTTTTACCATTCCTATTTTATTTAAACAAAAATTTGATTATTAACAGTTTATATCTTTTTTATCTATAATAAAAGAAAGAATTGATTATTTTTAACCCTTTTACTTAATAAAAAATCATTTATTGAATTTCATTTTCCTGTTATTTTTATATTATAAAACATATTATTAAAAGTATGTAAACAAATTTTTATTGGTTACATTCTCAACTTATTTTTATTTTAACTAATTTAAATTTTTTTTAAAAAAAATCATATTTGATATTAAATAAGAACTTTATTAAGAATTAACTTAATATAAAATAAATAATTAAATTCTTCAGTATAACATTAATCATCTTATACAAGCTATATATTTCTATATACATACAGATTATTAAAAAAGATTATTATTTTTTTTAAGGTTTATATAAAAAAAATAATATTGATTATTAATTATATTTGTTAAATTTATTTAAAAATTTTTAATTAATAATATAAAATTTTTATTTCTTTTTTAAAAGTAATATTGATTTAGAACAAGTTTTGATTGTTAATAAAATAAAAACTTCATGTTTTTTTAAATATAAAAAGAAAATAAAAATATATTTTTGTTTTTTTATTTCTTTTTTTTTTACCCTCTGTTAAACTAATTATGTGTGCTTTATTAAATATTAGTAGATTAAAGATGGGTCCCTAAAGTAGTTGATAGGGACAAAAGTAGGGACGTAAGTCAGGTTGACTTTTGATTATAAGAATATTGACTTTCGGTTATAAAAATATAAATTATATTAACTTTTAATTAATATACAATTGCTTTCAAAAGTTTGAGTCCATTTACTATGTTTTTATTATAAATTTCAACTTTGGCAATTTTTAAATCCTTAACTATACAGTCAAAAATTATAAAATTTATATATATTATGTCTTAATACTTATTCTATTTC